TCATTGCTGGCCTCACTTCTCTTGAATACCTTTCTCTTTCACATAATCGCTTCCAAGGTTCATTTTCATTCCATTCCTTCGCTAACCTTTCCAAACTTGAGTCATTTGAATGTGAAGATAACGGGCTAATAGTTGAGGCCAACGACTATCCAACCTGGGTTCCATCCTTCCAATTGAAGTATTTTGCCTTATCAGGCTTCACATTCAAAAATGGTGCTTTTCCAAGTTTCCTCTACTACCAGCATGAGTTGAGAGTAGTTCATCTCTCTAGCAACAACTTAAGGGGGGAATTTCCCATTTGGTTGCTACAAAACAATACCAAATTACAAAGCCTAAATCTAATGAATAACTCCTTTATAGGCCCTCTTGTTTTTCCTTCTCATCCTTGTCTAAATTTGTCTGTTTTGATCCTTTCTAACAACAACTTCTCTGGTTCAATCCCAACAAATATCGGTGTCATATTTCCAAATTTGAGAACCTTAAAGCTATCACAAAATTGTTTTGAAGGAAAAATTCCTCCATCAATCGGTAATATGAAATCGTTATGGTTTTTAGATCTGTCCAACAATAATTTATCAGGTCAAATTCCAGAGCACTTGGTCATGGGATGCTATGTGTTATGGTTTTTTAAGTTATCACACAATAATTTGTATGGAAAAATACTTCCTACAATTACAAACATAACTAGTTTAACGTCATTATACCTAGATCACAATCTCTTTGGTGGAAATCTTTCAGATAGCTGGTTGCATGGTTCCCAGGAATTATCTGATTTAGATATCAGTTATAACAACATTTCCGGTCCACTACCTAGATGGTTGGGAAATTTATCAAGTCTTCAGTCTCTTGTTATGCGTAATAATCATCTTGAAGGATCAATTCCAAGTGAGTTTTGTCAACTACATCTGCTCACATATTTGGATCTCTCTGAAAACGATATCCAGGGCTCGGTTCCTTCTTGCTTTAGCCCACAAAATTTGGAACATGTGCATCTTCAGAAAAATAGGTTGGAAGGACCAATGCCAAATGCATTCTCAAACATCACTTCCTTGGTGACATTGGACATTAGCGATAACCACTTAAATGGTGGAATTCCAGAATGGATTAGTGGGTTTTCATCTCTAAATGCCCTGCTTTTGAAAGGAAATCAATTTGTAGGTCAAATTCCAGTTCAATTGTGCCAATTGAAAAATCTCAACATAATGGACTTCTCTCTCAACTCTCTCTCAGGTTCGATACCTTCTTGCTTAAATAACATCACATTTGAAGGAGAATCAAGTTCATATGGAAGAAACTTAGAAGTTGTGCTTACTGAATTGGAATATGTTCATATATATTCATATAAAAGTATGTTAATTAGATATGAAAATGTTTGGAGTGGTGAAAAGGTCACGAAGAAAGAAGAAGTGAAGTTCAGAACAAAATTCCGGTTCGAAACTTACAAGGGTGTTGATCTTGATCTCATGTCTGGAATTGATCTCTCTTGCAACAAATTAGTAGGCAATATCCCACCTGAAATTGGAGATTTAAGTGATATTCGTGCATTGAACCTATCGCACAACTATTTAAATGGGAAAATCCCAC